ATACTTGCTGGAGCTAACAAGAGGATATAACTCTTGTAAACATATATGAACCCAATATAGGAGTGCCTAAATATATAAAGAATTTGGAGGACTTTAAGAAAGAGATACACAGCAATACAAGCATTGTAGGGGATTGTAACACCTCGTGTCAACAGTGTAAATATCTTCCAAATAAAAAAAATCAGGATATTGTAGCTTTGAAAGACAATCAAGATCAGATAGAATTAATTGAATTTTACAGAACATTTCAACACAAAGAAGCAAAATGTACATTCTTCTGAAATGCATGTGGACCATTTTCAAAGATAAACCACATGGCAGAACACTAAAAAAGCCTTAACAAATTCAAGAATATTGAAATCATATCAAGTATCTCCTAAGATCACAATAGCTTGAAACTAGAAACCAATCTCAAGAAAAAAACTCAAAAATATTCAAATACACGGAGATTGAATGCCATGTTATTTAATAATGAATGGGATAACAAAAATATCAAGGAAGGAATCAAAAAGTTTCTGGAAACAAATGCAAATAAACAATACAACAACCCAAAACCTATGGGACACAGCTAAGGCAGTCCTGAGAGGGACGTTCATAGCAATACAGGCCTACTTAAAGAAGATGGAAAAATTTCAAATAAACTACCTAACCCTACATCCAAAAGAACTAGAGGAGCAACAACAAACAAAGCCCAGAGTAAGCAGAAGGAAGAAAGTAATCAAGATTAGTGCAGAATTAAATGACCTAGAGACTAAAAAAAAAAAAAAATCAAAGGATCAATGAATCCAGGAGCTGGTTTTTTGAAGGGTAAATAAAACCGACAAACCATTAACTAGACTCATCAAGAAGAAAGAGGACCCAAATAAATAAAATCAAAAATGAAAGAGAAAAAGTCACAATCAATACAACAGAAATACAAAGGATTATAAGAAATTACTATGAACAAGCATATGCGAAGATATTGGACAGCCTGGGTGAAATGCATAAAATTCTCAAAATATACAGTCTTCCAAAACTGAATCAGGAAGTAGCAAAATCCTGAATAGACTGATAACAACCAGCAAATTTGAGGTGGTAATCAAAAAACTCCCAATGCACAAAAGCCTTGTACCAGATGGTTTCACAGATGAATTTTAAAAAACATTAAAAGAAGAACTAACACCTACCCTTCTCAAACTATTTCATAAAATTCAAGAGGAGGGAGGACACCTAAACTCTTTTTACCAGGCCTGTGTTATCTTAATCCAAAACCGGATAAAGACACAACAAAGAAACAAAGTTATAGGTCAGTATCTATGATGAGCACCAATGCTAAAATCCTCAACAAAATACTAGCGAACCATATCCAGCAATATATTTAAAAGGACATACACCATGATTAAGTGGAATTTACCCCAGGGATGCAAGAATGCACAATATTCACAAATCAATCAACATAATATATCACATAAACAAAATGTAGGACAAAAATTACATGATCATATCAATAGATGCCGAAAAAACACTTGATAAAATCCAACACCCATTTATGATAAAAAAAACTCAGCAAAGTGGAAACAGAGGAGCATACCTCAATATGATAAAGGCCATATATGAGAAATCTACATCATACTCAGTGGGAAAAAACTAAATGTTTCCCTTAGAAACAAGACTAAGATAAGGGTGTTTGCTTTCACCACTCTTTCAACAGAGTACTAAAAGTTCTAGCCACAGCAATCGACAAGAAGAAGAAATAAAAGACATCCAAATATGGAAAGGAGAAAGTAAAACTGTCACTATTTGCAGACAACATGACAGTGTACATGGAAAACCCTATAGACTTCACTAAAAACTATTCAACCTAATAAGTGAATTTGGCAAAGTAGAAGGATACAAAGTCAACATTGGGAAATCAATGGCATTTTTGTACACCAACAATGATCTACCAGAAAGAGAAACTAAGAAAAAAAAAATCCCACTTACCATATCAACAAAAAAATAGTACCTAGGAATAAATTTAACCAAAGAGATAAAAGAACTATACTCAGAAAAGTATATGACACTGAAGAAAGACATTGAGAAAGATGCAAATAAATAGAAGCATATGCCTTGTTCATGGACTGGAAGAATTAACATTATCAGCCTCTGAGACAACTTCAAGCATACCAACATTTGTATCATAGGGGTGCCAGAAGAAGAGAAAGAGCAAGAAATTGGAAATCTATTTGAAAAAACAGTGAAAGAAAACTTCTTAATTTGGAGAAGGAAATAGACATGCAAATCCAGGAAGCACAGGAAGTCCCAAACAAGATGGACACAAAGAGGACCACACCAAAACACATCATTAAAAAGATGCCAAAGGTTAAAAATAGAGAATCTTAAAAGCAGTACGAGAAAAGCAGAGAGTTACCTACAAAGGAGTTCCCATAAGACTATCAGCTTATTTCTCAAAAGAAACTTCGCAGTCAAAGGGATTGGCAAGAAGTATTCAAAGACATGAAAAGCAAGGACATACAACCTAGATTACCCTATCCAGCAAAGCTATCATTTAGAATGGAAGGGCAGACAAAGTGCTTCCAGACAAGGTAAAGCTAAAGGAGTTCATCATCAGCAAGCCACTATTACACAAATGTTAAAGAGACTTATTTAAAATGAAGAAAAATATTAAAGCCACGAACATTAAAAAGGCAACAAATTCTCAACTATCAACAACTGAATATAAAAAAACAAAACAAAAAAAAGAAACCCTAAGCAAACAACCAGAACAGGAACAGAATCATAGGTATGGAGATCATATGTAGGGTTATCAGCTGGAAGGGAGAAGGAGGAGAACAGGAGAGTGGTACAGGGATTAAGAAGCATAATTGGTAGGAGCAGAATAGACAGGGGAGGTTAAGAATAGTACAGGAAATGGACAAGCCAAAGAACTTAACACGCACAACCCATGGACATGAACTAAGGGGTGGGATTGCTGGAAGGAAGAGGGGTACCAGGTGGAGGAGGCCAAAGGGGGAAAAATTGGGACAACTGTAATAGTATAATCAATAAAATATACTTTAAAAATATATAGCCAATTATTTTCATTCCAGAAAATTCTGAAGTGAAATGAAATTAAATCATAATTAATTGTCATATAAATTAAATTTCAGGGAGAAAAGCAAAACAAAGTATTAACTAGTACATAGTACAAATTTGCCAGATGTTTCTATTTCCAACACTAACTTTATTTCTAGCATTATAATAAATTTCCCTTTTGGTAAAATAACCATTCCTTGACATAATGGAAAAGAGAGTTGTCTAAAAGGTTTCTTTACACAATGTCAGCATACCCAGTTGCTCAAAAACCAAAAATCTTGGGAGTTCCTTCAGTATGTTCTCTCTTTCCCCATCCAAACTATTCACAAGTCCCATCATAAATTCTGACTCAAAAGAGTGCATCTCAAATCCATCCATCTCCCTTTTGTTGCTAGCACCCTATCAGGCCACCACTATTTCTCACTCCACCTCCTAAAGCTGCCTGCTTTCTCTCTCACCCCCAGACAATCCATTCTGCACACAGCAGCTAATACTATTTACAATAATATATAAACTTCTTGCCAAACTTTTCAAGGCTCCGCATGGTTCTATAACCTCTTCCCACCCATCTATGGCTCTCTAAGTCAGCCACATGAGGGCTTTCTCTGTTCCTCAAACTCACCAAGCTCTTTCCTACTTCAAAGTCATTGTACCTGCTACTCCTTCCTTTTCTTTTCCCACAGCTTTATTGAAATACTATTGACATATAACAGATGTAAGTTTAGGTGTACAAAGTGATGATTCAACACATATAGATATGGCAGAATGATTATCACAATAAGGTTACAATTGTGTATATGTGGTGATAACATTTAAGATCTACTCTTTTAACAACTTTCAAGTATATATACAGTAGTACTGTTGTTAATTATAGTCACCAGGCCATGCATTATATCTCCAGATGTTATTTACCTTATAGCTGGTAGTCTGTTCCCTTTGACCAGGCCCTCCCCATTTACCCTATTCTCCAGCCCCTGGCAACGTGCATTCTACTTCCTATTTCTCTGAATTTGGCATTTGAAGATTCCACATATAAGTGAAAACATATAGTATTTGTCTTTCTCTTGTTTAACTTATTTCACTTTACTATTGCTTATCATGAGAATGTTTTCCCCACCAAAAGCCACACACACACACACACACACACACACACACACACACACACACACTCTCTCTGTCTCTCTCCACCTGCCCCTCAAATAGCTCCTTCATAAGACTCACCCAAGTACTAACTTCCAAGATCAGACATCATAGGACTCCTCTGAAACACTAACTCTTATAGGAGCTTTCTGTAACTACCGTATCTAAAATTCCTTATCACCAAATTATTTGCTTTTTTTGCTTTTCTTCACAAAATTTATCACAATTTATAATCATTTTGTCACTTTATTTTTAAACCTGCCCCTCCTTTACAATAAGCTATAAGAACAGGATATCCAGTTTATTCATCATTATATTCCCAGAAGCAGCAAACTGATACTTATTAGAAGCCTATCAATGTACGTCAAATAAATAAATGAAATAGTAAATGAATATATGACTATATTAGAAAATGGGACTAATAAAACTGTTAATAGAAATACATAAACCAGAAAAAAGGAGCAAGTGTTTAAGAAGAAAACTAAGACATACTGAGTTTAGTGCCAGGCAGTTGAAAATAAAGGACTGGTGGACACGCAGGCTGGTAAAGAAATATGGATTGAGATTCTGCTGATTACAAATGTTAATTGAAAAAAAATAATGATTACATCACAAATGATAGAGAATTCAGTAAGATAAATAACAAATATAAAATGATTGGAGCCTGCCTAAACAGGAGAATCACATAAACGCTACAAAATCAGGACAAGCCAAAACTTTCAAAGGAAAAAAATACTTTAATAATTATTTAGTGATATAAAAATAACTGTTTTAGTAATTTACTAAAAAGAGGAACAAAATCCTACCTTACTACTATTCATTGCTGGTCATATCTTAGCTAAAGTAGCAGGTCCATGTTGAAGGATTACACATCAGGGATGAGGAAGACACTTGATAAAACTTTCAGTGAATTCTCACAGGTATGATCATAGGTCTAGTCAGAAAACATGAGCTGGAAGAAGAAGTTCAAGGAGTCAGAACTGCACACTACAAAAAAGAAGGAAAAAAATGTACACATGGAGTATAGTAGGCTGCACCTGGGAGTCAAACTCAGCATTTTCTCCCATTCACCACATTAAGAATAAGAATGCTAGCCTTACTTAACTTCTTTATCCCCTGCTTACTCTCTCCCTTTTCTTCCAACAAGTTTTCCAATGAGTAATGTATCTTACCTTCTCTTCTTACCTATTCCCTGAGTTTTGAACAGGTAATTCATTTTGTCTCCATTTTCAGAGCACAAAACTAATTACAAGTTTGAAGCTCATAAGAAGAAGCAACTACACTTGTTAAAATATTATTACAGCCTAAAGAAGTAATTAACTCTTTTTAATTTTGCAAAAGCTGGTAAGGTTTGGGAAGGGTTCTCTTGGTACACACACAGTTTCTCTAACAATATGCCAAAGCATGACCCTTCCTTCGGCTCTTCTCTCAACCCTCGAAACTAGAATTCCTAAGACATTTCTGGGTCACTGGCTCTCTTATCACCGATGGCAATGCAAGTATATCCAGTTTACAGGCCTCCCTCTGTTTTTCATTTTTTGCCTTATGCCCTCATATTTCTAATACCAGCTTCTTGGTTTATACTCAGCTCTCCCCTTCTTCAAACTTCTCATTTTCATTTGCCTATTCAGTTTCCTGTCATTTCTCCTATTTCCTTAACTTTCATGCGAACCAAAGGACATTTCATTGGCGTTACCAGTAAGATTGCTCCTTTCCTTCTGGTCAGGAAACTGATCAAACATGGGAATACCTTCCAAGTCTCCTACTCTTCTAAGCTTTTTATCTATTTTCAAAGGGTTCCTCCTTTACCTCTCCCGCCCTCCCCCTCACCCCCCTCCCAAGACCAGCATTTTATTCTCTTCTATATTTGGCAAGGTTCTCAATGCTAGAACAGGTTGGAAATCTAACCTACATATAATGAAACTGTTATTACATCTCTCCACTTCCACTGAACTGTGATATGATTGAAGACAGGGACTGTTATCTTAATACAGTAGTATCCTACACAATACCTGGAACACTGTAGCCACCAAACAAGTGATTACTGAATGAATGAAATTCCAAGGTGAATTGCAGTTTTCTCTGATTTGTAGTCTTTGGTGTAAAGTAAGGCTTTGACAAGGATTTGTGCATTAAATGATAATTCATGACTTAAAATAATATTTAAATTTGAAAACTCTAATCATGACTTCTCTTTTATACTGTTTTTAATAGGGTATCCTTAATTGATTTATGTATTACTTATAAAGATTTCCAAAGGAACAAAATATAGTGAGTGTATACCTAAATGTGCACATCATATATGTTACCTAATTCTACTTTTAAGACAGACCCCCAGGCCCTGGCAGGATAGTTCAGTTGGTTAGACTGTCATCCCAATGCACCACGGTTGCGTGCGGGGTCCATCCCCAGTCAGGCACATACAAGAATCAACCAATGAATGCACAAATAAGTGAAACAATAAATCCATGCTTCTTTCTCTTTCTCTCACTCTTGCTCTCACTCTCACTCTCCCTTCCTATCTCTCTCTAAAAATCAATAAATAAAAATATTTTTTTAAAAAAACAGACCCCCAAAGTTACTGGACAATCCATTTAATTTGAAATTGTTTAGCCTTTCTTCTCTATCAGCAAGGATAGTTGCGAGTTATCTAGAATTCCATATATTGGTCTCTCACTGTGATAGAGAAATAATTATTTTCAAAGATCTAAAGACAAGAAAGATAGCAATTCAATAGGATTCCATGCTCAACACTGAGCAGCATAAAGTGTCTTGTTTAAGAAGCTAGTAAGAGTTACCATGTGTTATTTATGTATCACTGTCCAACTCAAAGTCTTTTCTACACATTATAATTTTCAATGAAAAAAAGTATTTTTTTTTCCACTTGATACTGAAATAATTGGGGTTAAAAATAAGTAACAATTTCCTTGGTAGAATCTCTAAAAAAAGAAACCATTTTATTTGTTCAACCTACTATAAACCTATGATTAAAAATTCCTTGTATTACTTTAAAGGTATTATTATCCTTATCAAAGATCATCAAAGGTTTCTTTAGATGAATTAAAAATGTATAATAATGACTTTCTGGTGCACCTTAGTCTTCCCCACCAACATCTCCAACTACACAGGTAGCCATCTCTAACTCACACTCATAGTCAAATATAGTTCCTGTTGCTTAACTGTGCTTCTCCTCACAACTAGAACTAGAGTGAGGCAAGAGAGGCACCTAGGGTGCAAATTTATGGAGATATTCACTCTCAGGGTCATGCAAGTGCCACCCTAAACATCTTATTTTGTGTCGTAGGCATCTCTCATGCTTCAGCCTAGTCCTGGTCCTACTTCTATGTCCCACCTCAACTCCTCTTGCCTCTCTAATAAGTAACAGACTACAATCAAATCCTGACGAACCAAAATTCTAAAACTAAGCAACAAATTTAAATATAATTTTGCATCCATTTAAAATTATGTTTTCAAGGAAGATCTCTTGTTCACAGTGTGATGTCTGGTGAAAAATAGATGAGGCAGGAGTGCCTATATACAATAAAATTTTTTTTTTTTCCAAATGATTGTGAGCCACATGGCAGGTAAGTGACAGACCTGTGTTATTTTTCACTCTCTTTCTTTTGGTGACAGCATCTCAATTTTTTTCTGTTGAATTACCCTTCTCTAATTCTCAATCCATGTTGGGTGGCACTAAATCATTCTCACTCTCAAGTTCCTGGAATGAACACAAAGTTCCTGGAATAGGTGCATGATCCAGGTCTGGACAATCAGCATATTCCCTCCCCCAAGCAGTAGTTTAGGAATGGGTAAGTAACCCAATAGGACTGATCAAGCTCAATTATGCAAGGCTACTCAGAAAGTTATCTTTCAGTTGAAGTTGCTAAACTGAAAGAATATAAGTATCTATCTCACAGTTAGCCAACCAGAGAAAATAATTGTTGAGATGGAAAGAGATATGAAGAAAACGCTGAAGACATTTTGCCTCTAGATCTAATCACACCTGAGTTGAGGTGTGAATAGATATACCTGCTGCAATCTTAGAATGACTGCTGGGAAACAACTCTCTCTGGATTTCTCATGTTCCTGCACAATCAGAGCCTTCTGAGTAAAAGATACTATAAGGATATTTGCATGATAGACAGACTTGGAAGCTAGAGACAGTGTCTCCCCACAGATAGAGACCTCCAATGAACTTTGGAAAATAAAGCCCTCTCCTTCCTTGCCCTGAAAGACATTCACTTATTCTCTTTTTTTTAAACATTTTTATTATGTTACTTTATATTTTTATTTATATTTACTTATATTCTAGTATAAATCTAAAGACACTTTCCCTTTCTCCCCTGGAGAAATTTGCTTAATGAGTAATCTCTCTCCCTCTCTAGGGTATTCTCTTTCCATCAGTGTTTCAGAATTAACAGTTACATGAAGCAATAAATTATTTTTTCTATTTATTAATTCATTCAACAAATATTCCCTGAGAGTCTACCATGTTATGTGCCATGCATTTTCCTACACACACACCAAAAAAAAGACAAAAATTCCTGCACTTACCGAGATTATTTAGTAAAAAGAGGAAACAAAATACAAAATAAGTAAGTAAAATACACAGTACTGAGTGAGTGTTATAAAGAGAGAGAAAGCAGGAAAAGGTAACAAGAAGTATGGGGGAGGTAAGAGATTTCAAATGTATGCTAGGTGATTAAAGACTTTATGGATGAAGTTATATTTGAACAAGGACCTAAAAGAGATAAGGAAATAAGTCATATGGATATCTGGAAAGGAGCAATTCCAGGCCAGAACAGTAAGTGAAATAAAGCACGTATTTAAGAAAGAGCAAGGAGGCCTGCAGGGAGTGAATGGTAGAGACAAGAGAAAAATCTGAGTTCAGAGAAAGATCCTGCATGAGGGAGAGCAGGACCCTGCATGAGGGAGAGCACAAAACTGCTCATTTGAAGGACTTGGAGCTTGTACTCTAAGTTACATGGGAAATTACTGAAAGATTCTGAGCAAAAAAGTGATATGATCTCTTACTTTTCAAAAGGATAACACTAACATTCTGAGAGCAACAGTAGTAGCCAGGAGACTTGTGAGAAGTTACATAGAAGGAGAGAAAGGACAGTATTGAACCTGAATAACCCTAATAGAGGTGGTGAGAACTGGCATATTTCAGGTATATTTTGAAGTCAACAGAATATTCCAAAAATTATATGGGGGACGTGAAAAAAAAAGAGTCAAGAATAACTTCAAGGGTTGGGGTCTCAGCAAAAAAAAAGGAAAGTATTACCATCTACAGAGATGGAAAGGATTAACTTTTTTAATCGAGTTTCTATCACTCATCTAAAAGCAGTCGGACGGATATAAAAATGTATGACAAAATCAGGTAGTACGAATGACAGCCTAAAATGTAGAAGTGAATCAATAATAGAAAGTGAGGGAATCTGGTATTCTTCTATTGCAGAGTGAGGAGTCAGGATTCTTTCAGAAGCAAACAGAGCTGGTAAATTGCCAACTCTTATAAATCAGGCTATGTGTCTGCTAAGAATGGAACGGTGGGTTACTTAGTAAAAATGTTAGGATGTTGGTATATTGCTTACTATGTGGTACTCTTTAGAGTTCCTTCAGAAAAGCAGCACACTTTGAGTGAAATTTTAATAAAAGAAAAATATCTTCCCAGCCTTTCATTACAAATCCAAGGTGGCTGATATTGCAATTTATACGGTTGAAAATGAATTATCCCTAAACTAAAATTAGGCCCTTAACCACACAAAAACAGAGAGAGAAGCCTAATGTTCCAGGCTCTTCCCCAAGCATTCTAGCAAAGAAGATATTTACCCATGATAAAGAACCATCCACTATGAAACAGCCTGGGAGCAGGAACAAATTACCGGTGCTTGTTACCTCAAGAAGTTGCTCTGAATGGCCTAGAGACAAAAGCCAAGATGGCAACTGAAAAGACTAGGATGTACGTGGTATCTCAACCTCAG